GTATGGACATTCGACAACAGGGATTAGATACATGCTTGGTTGTTTAAATTGTTCTTCTATGCTTAATGGGTTCCTAATGCTTAATTTTAGGTTAGACAACAAATGATCAAATTAGGGAATTAGGAACACAAGGTTATGACCACACACCATGGCTTAATCATACATTAGCTAGAATCAATCCGTTAATCTAATTGAACTTGGGAACTTATCTACTTGAGTTAGTTATTTTCTTTCTTCCTTGTTTTATTTATTTCCTTTCTTTTTCATTTCTGTTTTGTGTAGGGAAAATGAATTGGATCATTCAATCACCAATCCTCGTGGGATCGACCTCGCACTTACATATGCTATACTACCAAACGGCTCGTGCACTTGCGAGTATCACAAGTTGAGGATGCAGCTGAATCCATTTTGGTGCAGCTGTATCGACACAACATACACCGAAGGATTGTGCGGCAGCATGCATATCAGTATAAGAGGGTTTCTTGGGCTAAGGTTTTGATTCTTTGATCAAACTTGTTCTCCATTGTAATCTTTCTGATTGTGTGTGTTAGCTAAAAATCATTCTTAGCTGCTCTGTTTTTTTTTTGTCTTCCCTTTTTTTGTGTTTTTGTTGGTGAGATATGTTGTGCGCAGCGGAAGCGGATTGCACTAGGTGGACAATATGGAACCGTTGAAACAACAAGACAAATATGAAAATAGCAAAATCCAAGAGACACAAAGATTTATACTGGTTCGGCCTGTGTGTAGCCTACATCCAGTTCGAAGATGGCAAGAACTTCCACTAGCATCCCAAAGGAGATTACAAACAAAGGAGATTAAACACTCTTACCTAGTCTAGGAATTACAGAGTTTAACTCTCACAACCCAAATCCCATATACACCCAAGTCACTCACACACAAAGGCGGCCCATGGCATGTGCGGGCTGTGCAATTGCACAGGGCCTCCAAAATTTAGGGGCCTCCAAATGTTTCAAAAATCCAGCATTATATTATATATTTTCTGCTACTTTTCGTTCTAAGCAAATTTTTATTCCAAAACATTATTTTTTATTCCTAACGTGCAGATTTTTGTTCCAAGCATTAACAAATTAAAAAAAATACTCGTGAGTCATGCGTGTGTGCGGCGTACTCTCCTTGCCATTCCCAAATCGCTTTTCTTTCATTTAGCCCCAAACTCACTTCTTCCCAACTTCTACTTGACTCTCCAATCCAAAAAAAAAATTTCTTATTTACTCTTTGGCAAGGCAAAAAGCATGCTATGCGTTCTCCTCCACCACACCTCTCTCTCTCATATTAGCATTTATAAATTATGTGTTGCATTTGGAATTAGCCATCATATGATTGCAAGAAACCTAATAAATCAGGTTAATCTCTATCCCTAAAAAAAATTGAAATTTTGTTATTTTACTTATACATATAGGGCCTCATCAGCTCTCTTTGGACAGGGCCTCCATATCTAATGGACCGGCTCTGCTCACACGAGAAAGATAGGCTACAAAGATATGAAGAACACTTATAAACAAAGAAGTTCTTCACATCACCATCTCTTCCTCAACCAAAAGGTGCAGCAGCAAAGACACCATGGTGCATACGACTTGCCCCATGACAAGAGCACTTTCTCACCTATTGTGCTCACCAAAACTGCCCACACTCTTTCTCTCTGCCAAGCCTTCATTATATAACCAAGAACTTGGTCCAACAGCTGCATGAGCACCTTCAAAGTCCACCACAAAACAGGGACATTAATGCACCGAAACAACTCAACCACCAGCATTGGAAAAGAAACCAGCCGCTCCTCTTTGGTGTGGCACACCTGCACACACCTCTTCTGCTGCCAACGAAGTCCCTATTACGCATAGCTCTAGTTGGCTTCATAAATATAGTAGCCACTCTATGAATCTAGGGATAAACCATCACATGCAAATAGTGATCAATATGCAGCTAGTCAAACTTGCTTTTCCCATTTTCAAGCTTGCTTCACATGGCTTTTGTTCCCTCCTTTTTGACAAAGGCTGACTTCAACCATCATTCCCTTCCTTTGCTTTCGGCAAATGCATGAGAAAGGAAAGAAATAGCCTCTTCCTTTCTCCAAGTGGGCGACATGCAACACAACAGAGATAGTAAACAAAATAATATTTGAGCCAATATTCAACAAATACAGATTCTGCAGTTTCTTACCATCCAAAGCGGAAATTCATCAGGTAGTGACAGCAGTTCACTTTCAAGAGCAATGGTGAAAGATCGGTTCAAGACCTTCAACGTCCAATTTGAGGAGCTTCATCAAAGGTGTTGACGTGAGTCTCCTAATTAATCAAGGAGATTTATTTCCTTGATTAATTAAGGGATTTACCCTCTGATTCCATGTAGTTGACAAATCATTGTATAATTAGGAGATACTATCCTAATTGATTACTGTATCTATTTCCTTGTAAAGCACTCATGTAAACTCCTATATATACCTCCTTATGGAGAAGAATAAAACTTAACCCAAAGTATTCAAACCATATTCATATTTTAGGATGGTATCAGAGCAATCGATCCTAGGTTGTCTCTAAACCCTTATCTCAAATTTCTCATATTCAAATTTCCAAGTTTCAATAGTTTTATCAAATAGTGGAGACTTAATTTCATGCCAGAATTTAGGTTCTTCATTTTGACAATGACGGAAAATTTCTCAACCATGACCTTAACCAGTTCTTACAAGATCATGACATCATACATCAACGCTCATGCCCTTACACTCCCCAACAGAATGGGGTGACTGAAAGAAAGAACATAAACTTATTGGAAGTCGTTCGTGCCTCTCTCTTTGGTGCCAATATGCCACGATCTTTTTGGGGCGAAGCCGTTGTCTCTGTAGCATACCTTATCAATCAGATTCCCTCCAGTATCCTAAATTTCCCAACACCACTTCAAACACTTCACCACCATATCCAAACACCTCATACCCCAAACCTGGAACCCTGGATTTTCGGCTGTGTCGTATTTGTCCCCTTACATGATCACCAACGAAGCAAATTGGATTCCCGAGCCGAAAAATGTGTTTTCATTGGCTATGCACCTCATTAGAAATGATACCGATGTTATCATCCTCCTAGTAAGAAGGTCTTTACCTCCATAGATGTTGTGTTTTGGGAACATGACTTATATTTTTTAATAGCCCATGAGGAGAATCGAGAATTCACCACTGCTTAAATTCTCAATTTTTTTCCCCAAGACGTCACTCTGCATCAAAACGATCGGTCGCCAGTGGAAAGCAATCGATCGCCCCCCTTAGTTCTTCAAATACAGAGAACTTGCTTCAAAACGACGTCACCAGAGGAAAACGATTAGTTGTCTCCACGCTGTCAAAATCAGGAGGAGGAAATTGAACAGTTTTATGAGATTTTGCCCACTTCAGCTCCAGTACCACACTAATCACCTGCTGAGGAAGTCATTCAGGTAACATCTTTTCCTGAAACTGATAACACTAATGAAATATCCCACGACGATTTGATTTTAGAAGGTATATAGCCTACATATCAGCTTCCAGAAAGGAAGAACCGTGGCAAACCTCGAGTACAATATGAAGCAAATCTTAAAGCCAAAGGGAAATACCCTATCAAGAATTATATATCTCTCAGCAGATTATCAGAGTCACGTGTGCACTATGTGAAGCAGTTGGCTGACATATCTGTCCCCAACAGTGTAACTGAAGCACTAGAAGACCAAAAATGGAAAGAAGCCATGAATGAAGAAATGCGAGCTCTCCAAAAGAATGTCATATGGGAACTCGTGCTTTTACCTCATGGAAAGAAGACAGTAGGATGCTTGTGGATTTATACTGTGAAACTCAAAGCAGATGGATCCGTTGAAAAATATAAAGCTAGATTGGTGGCGAAGGGGTACACATAGAGATATGAGATAGACTACGAGGGGACATTTGCTCCAGTAGCCAAGATTAACACTATTAGAGTCCTATTGTCTTTAGCAGCATATCTCGATTGGACACTACATTGGTTTAATGTCAAAAATGCATTCTTACATGGAGACTTGGAAGAAGAAGTATATATGGACTTATCCCCAGGATGTAATTTAGCTCATGCCAAGAAAAATCAAGTTTGCAAGCTCAGAAAGTCATTATATGGGTTAAAGCAATCTCCTAGGGCATGGTTTGACAAATTTACTAAATCTATGAAGATTTTTGGATATACACAGACTAATTCAGATCACACCCTGTTCTTGAAGCGTGATGAAGGAAAACTTACTGCATTGATTGTTTATGTAGATGACATAATCGTAATTGGAAACGACGCAAAAGAGCAACTGAAGTTGCAAAAGTATTTGTGTCGGGAATTTGAGATGAAGGATTTAGGTGATTTGAAGTACTTTCTTGGAATCGAAGTAGCAAGGTCAAAAACTGGTATATTTATGTCTCAAAGGAAGTATGTAATGGATCTACTCACTAAAACAGGAATGTGTGAATGTAAGCCTGCTGACACACCCATTGAGATGAATCACAAGTTGTATGAAGACATGGACCAAGAACCAACGAATAAGGAACAGGACCAACACCTTGTTGGAAGGTTGATATACCTGGCACACACAAGACCTGATATTGCATATGCTGTGAGTGTGGTTAGTCAGTTTATGCATTCACCCAGTGTTTCTCATAGGAATGCAGTTGATTGAATTTTAAGATACTTAAAGTCAGCCCATGAGAAAGGATTAATGTTCTCAAAAAATGGAGATCTTGAAGTTGTTAGATATACAGATGTTGATTGGGCTGGTTTCATTACAGATGGACGCTCTACTTCTGGCTACTTTACGTTCGTGGGAGGTAACCTAGTCACTTGGCGGAGTAAAAAGAAAAATGTGGTTTCTCGGTCTAGTGCAGAAGCAGAATATTGAGGAATGACTCACGAAGTTTGTGAATTATTGTGGATCAGAAGACTCTTGGCAGAATTGGGCTTTAAGCTAGAAAAGCCAATGGAGTTGCATTGTGACAACAAGTCAGCTATCGATATTGCCCATAATCCAGTTCAACATGATCGAACCAAACATGTTGAGGTGGATAGACATTTTATCAAAGAAAAATTTGAGAAGAAGATCATCCGTCTACCATTCGTAAAATCAAAAGATGAATTGGAAGATATCTTAACAAAAGCTGTTTGTGGCAGAGTATTTCATGACTCACTTACCAAGTTGGGCATAGGGGTGACATATATGCACTAACTTGAGGAGGAGTGTTGACGTGAGTCTCCTAATTAATCAAGGAGATTTATTTCCTTGATTAATTAAGGGATTTACTTTCTTATTCTATATAGTTGACAAATAATTGTATAATTAGGAGATACTATCCTCATTGATTACTGTATCTATTTCCTTGTAAAGCACTCATGTAAACTCCTACATATACCTCCTTATGGAAAAGAATAAAACTTAATCCAAAGTATTCAAACCATATTCATATTTTAGCAAAAGGCAACCTCAGTGGATGGTTCATGACAACGAGTTGCGAGAGTCTTTGAGGCTGGCTGTTGCTGAAGTCCTCTTGCCTGCTTACAGATCATTCATCAAGTGTTTTGGGCATGTTTTTTGCACATTTTCTAACGTTCCTTAAAAAAGAAATCATAATTATTTTTTCGGCATTAATATGGATGTGCTTTGTGTTGCAGGCCTATGATCGAGAATGGGAAGAACCCACAGAAGTATAATAGTCCAGTTTCATATTTCCCATGTAAAGCTTGCATTATTCTTCCAAGTTCTTTTACAATTTGTTTTTCAGCTAATAAATGAGAAAATTGTGTCATTTGGAAGGAGGTTTTTCCCCTTTAGAATTTTGTTTCCATGAAAAGATTAAAGAAACAAATCATTGGAGGAAAGCGCTAGCGTCATAGATAATCCTTCTCTCTTGTAATGAAGAATCCTTGAATGACGCTTTGTTGATTTCTTGCCAGATCATAGTTTGAATCTGTCTTTTCACAGTTTATAAAGGGGAAGAAAATGCTATAGCATCAGTTGTGTGTGGGCATGTGAAGCATTCTCAGCCATGGATGAGTGTTGGATTTACTGTAATGTTGCTAAAAATGTTCATATTAGGTCGATATCGATGGATCCAAATTTGAAAGCAAAGAAGGAACCAATTAACTCTCTGCTAGTCTAGCAGTATTTCTCTTTACAATTTTGAAAATGTTCCAAATTCGAAAGCAGCTTTAATAGGAAGCAGCTATCTTGCAAGGAACCTTTCTCTTTTGTTATGAAGACGACTTGGATAATATTTTGTTTGTTTCTTGTAACAATGTCAAAGAATAATATGGAACTTTTCATTGTGTATATATAATAGCCATCCATTAATTATAAGAAGGTCAGTCACTTCCACAGCTTGTCTAAAGGCCATGCCTGAAAATAATATATATATCTTGATTACAGAGGTGGACTCATCTAGTGAGCCAAACTGGTAAGCCTATATGTGCAAAATTTCTTTATAAATTAATTTGTTGAAAGATTTCATTATTAAAATGTTTTGAATTTGAAGGATGAAGGAGAAGAGGAGAAGGTAATAGCTGAGGCTGTGCAGGAAGCCTTGGTTGGACATAGTTTGAGCACCTTCATATACAGCAAAGATGTTCCCACCAAAACAGGAAAAAGGTACGGGGCGTGATGAGGGTGTTTCATAAATTAGTTTGCTCAAACATATAGACATTTTATTTTTCTTGCTGAATAAATCCGAAAGAGTGCAACATTCATCGTAATTGAGATTCCAAACATGATCAGAAATATAACTAAGGGTAAATATCATTCCCTTATTATTACCAGATCTAACAAGCTGTTTGCCTCAACTAATTAACAATTAGTTTCATGGTACTTCTTCTCCCATATATTGAAACAAGTCCCAAGTTCGAAACATCCACAACATTGTACTCGATTTAGTGATAGACCCATTCACAACCTTAGGAAATATCTAAGAATTAATTTTTACCGGCTTCTCTAGCTTGAGTGGGACTCATACAGTTTTTTTTTTGGGTCTGAACCATGAGGTGGTCCTGGATGGGCCCCAATTATGGGTGGCACCTTTAAGCCTTAACCACAACCTAGACTAATCCCCACTGACACCGGGTCGGCCCGTAAGGGGTAAATGTTGAAATTGGCTCAAATTTGGCATGTGGGTCAATATTGGTTTACCATTGGAGTTGCCCATGTGAGTAAATGTTGGCTTGCTATGAGGTCAAAATGTGTGGCTAGTTTGGTAGCCATCCATTGTTGAGTTTGGTAGCCAACATATGAATAGTTGAAGCTTGCATTCACACTCTTGCATCTTTGGCTATAAATTGGAAGCAAATGTTTTCATTTGTAGCAATCACAACCAAGTGTGAGAAGAAGAGAAAAATTGTTCTTTCTTTTCAATTGTTGTGAGAGTGTGACTTGGGTGTATTTGGGATTTGGGTTGTGAGAGTTAAACTCTATAATTCCTAGGATAGGTGAGAGTGTTTAATCTCATTTGTTTGTAATCTCTTTTGGGATACTAGTGGAATTTCTCGCTGTCTTCGAACTGGATGTAGGCTACACACGGGCCGAACCAGTATAAATCCTTGTGTCTTTTTCCCCTCTAGAATTTTGTTTCCATGAAAAGATTAAAGAAACAAATCATTGGAGGAAAGCGCTAGCGTCATAGATAATCCTTCTCTCTTGTAATGAAGAATCCTTGAATGATGCTTTGTTGATTTCTTGAGAGGTCATAGTTTGAATCTGTCTTTTCACGATGTCTGAAGGGGAAGAAAAAGCTAGCATCAGTTGTGTGGGCATGTGAAGCATTCTCAGCCATGGATGAGTGTTGGATTTACTGTAATGTTGCTAAAAATGTTCATATTAGGTCGATATCGATGGATCCAAATTTGAAAGCAAAGAAGGAACCAATTAACTCTCTGCTAGTCTAGCAGTATTTCTCTTTACAATTTTGAAAATGTTCCAAATTCGAAAGCAGCTTTAATAGGAAGCAGCTATCTTGCAAGGAACCTTTCTCTTTTGTTATGAAGACGACTTGGATAATATTTTGTTTGTTTCTTGTAACAATGTCAAAGAATAATATGGAACTTTTCATTGTGTATATATAATAGCCATCCATTAATTATAAGAAGGTCAGTCACTTCCACAGCTTGTCTAAAGGCCATGCCTGAAAATAATATATATATCTTGATTACAGAGGTGGACTCATCTAGTGAGCCAAACTGGTAAGCCTATATGTGCAAAATTTCTTTATAAATTAATTTGTTGAAAGATTTCATTATTAAAATGTTTTGAATTTGAAGGATGAAGGAGAAGAGGAGAAGGTAATAGCTGAGGCTGTGCAGGAAGCCTTGGTTGGACATAGTTTGAGCACCTTCATATACAGCAAAGATGTTCCCACCAAAACAGGAAAAAGGTACGGGGCGTGATGAGGGTGTTTCATAAATTAGTTTGCTCAAACATATAGACATTTTATTTTTCTTGCTGAATAAATCCGAAAGAGTGCAACATTCATCGTAATTGAGATTCCAAACATGATCAGAAATATAACTAAGGGTAAATATCATTCCCTTATTATTACCAGATCTAACAAGCTGTTTGCCTCAACTAATTAACAATTAGTTTCATGGTACTTCTTCTCCCATATATTGAAACAAGTCCCAAGTTCGAAACATCCACAACATTGTACTCGATTTAGTGATAGACCCATTCACAACCTTAGGAAATATCTAAGAATTAATTTTTACCGGCTTCTCTAGCTTGAGTGGGACTCATACAGTTTTTTTTTTGGGTCTGAACCATGAGGTGGTCCTGGATGGGCCCCAATTATGGGTGGCACCTTTAAGCCTTAACCACAACCTAGACTAATCCCCACTGACACCGGGTCGGCCCGTAAGGGGTAAATGTTGAAATTGGCTCAAATTTGGCATGTGGGTCAATATTGGTTTACCATTGGAGTTGCCCATGTGAGTAAATGTTGGCTTGCTATGAGGTCAAAATGTGTGGCTAGTTTGGTAGCCATCCATTGTTGAGTTTGGTAGCCAACATATGAATAGTTGAAGCTTGCATTCACACTCTTGCATCTTTGGCTATAAATTGGAAGCAAATGTTTTCATTTGTAGCAATCACAACCAAGTGTGAGAAGAAGAGAAAAATTGTTCTTTCTTTTCAATTGTTGTGAGAGTGTGACTTGGGTGTATTTGGGATTTGGGTTGTGAGAGTTAAACTCTATAATTCCTAGGATAGGTGAGAGTGTTTAATCTCATTTGTTTGTAATCTCTTTTGGGATACTAGTGGAAGTTCTTGCCATCTTCGAACTGGACGTAGGCTACACACGGGCCGAACCAGTATAAATCCTTGTGTCTCTTGGATTTTGGTATTTTCATATTTGTCTTGTTTGTTTCAACGGTTCCGTATTGTCCACCCAGTGCAATCCGCTTCCGCTGCGCACAACAGTAAAGTGTTGGCCAAAGTGGTGACTCCGTACGAGAGCAGGGATCGAACCTCTGACCTCTCTTAAGCAATGAGAGTGCCGAACCACTCACACCAACCACCTTGGTTAGAGACTCATACTTTGCATTCTAGCAGTTACAAATTTATTTAATTTATATGTTCATTTGTTTAATTTTTTATGTAGTCGATGAAAACTTAACCAGATATATATATTTTTTTTGGGTTTTTGGGGACAGGCACATCGTATTTTCACGAAGAAATTGGTCATGGTAACTGGTATGTATATTGGAATGTTTTAGTGTTGGTTGGATATGAGTTGACTTTTTTATTTATTTATAAATAATTTATAAAATTCTTGTCGAAGGTTGTTGGATGGCGCTGGCTTCTCCCCTACGCAAGAGGAAGAGGAGACTTCATCAACCAATGCTGCACCAGCAGTAATAGTTGAGAAACCGAGGGATGAAGTGGCGATTCTAATCGAGGGTAAAGTGCGAGACACGCCGTCGTTTTGGCCAGATTGTTGTATTTACAAAGTCCCCCATAGATTTCGCAGAGGAAATGAAGGGTTCTATGAACCCCGGGTGGTCTCAATCGGACCTTACCACTCTCACCAAGGAAGTTTCCCACAAATGCAAATCTTTAAACTCAAATACGTAGAGGCCTTCTTGAGCCGAAACGAGCTCAGCTTAGACCAATGCCTCGGCCTTGTGAGAACGTGGGAAGCAAAAGCCAGGCGTTTTTATGTAGACTGCATTGACCTAAGCAGTGATGAATTTGCCGAGCTGATACTGGTGGATGCAATTTTTGTCTTGGAGCTTATGATCAGGCACCAGTTTTTTGAATATGTAGACGATTGCGATCGGATTTATAGGAAGCCGCGGATGATTGAAGATGTTTTCCATGATGTCTTGTTGATTGAGAACCAAATTCCCTTTTTTGTTCTTGAGGGTTTGTATGACCTAGTTGATAATAGCTCCAAAAGAACTCTCAAATTCTTCGTCGAGCTTACGCATGAGTTCTTCAAGGCTTCTGTCAAAATCGACAAGTTTGGTGCTGATCGTGCACCTGTGCCTGGAGTTAACCACGGAGTGAAGCATTTTGTTGATTTTATTCGGTGCTACTACTTGCCTACGGAGGACGAAAAGCATGAATATGGCAATAGGGTTTATGAAATCTCACCAAGCGTGACAGCGCTAGAGGATGCTGGAGTTAAGTTTGCCACAACAAGCACGAGGTCCTTACTTGACATACAATTCAACAGAGGATGTCTCAAAATTCCAAATTTTAGGGTAGACGATTGGACGGAAACTGTCTTCAAGAACCTGATTGCCTTCGAACAGTGCCACGATCACCAAGTGAAGCACATTTCAGAATTGATGTTCCTCATGGGGTGCATGATCAAGACTTCAAAGGACGTCGACTTGCTCATTGAACATGAAATTATATCTAGCATGCTGGGGAGCAACGTTGATGTGTCCACTCTGTTTAACCATATTGGCCAAGGGGTTGGTTTCTGTCAGCCAAACTATTACTTTAGTCTTTGCAAAAAACTCAATGCCTACTGCAAGTCCCCTTGGCACAGATGGAAAGCTATTCTGAAGCGCGACTATTTCAACACTCCATGGAAAGTTGTTTCTACAATTGCTGCAATTGTACTCCTCGTGCTCACACTCGTACAAACGATATGCTCTGTCTTATCCCTATAGCTTTACATTATTTATATGCTTTTTCAAAGTGTTAAAACTGAGGAAGTAAAGCGGCACCGAATTAGCTTCTGATGACAAGGTCAAGGAAGAATCCCTTGTACTGTGCATGTAGTCATTTTGTTGCCATAAAATCATCAATTTACAATTTCTTAAACAAAAGAAAAAAATAGATGAAAGAAAAAAGAGGATAGTTATACCTTTTTCATTGAATAATCAAGACTTGAATGGGAAGCTTGCAAGGAACCTTTTTTTTGTTGTTGCAAATGTTGAAGAATACTTGCAGGACACACTTCGTGTATTTCGTGTAACAAGTTCAAAGAGAAATATGGGTCTTTCATCAGTTAGTTGTAGAAAGAGCTAGGCCTGCCTGAAAATAATATCTTAAACCAAGAAAGAGCCATCTAGTCAGCCAACGATTCAATTCAAATACCCGCATTTACCCACATTTCATAAAATTTCTCCAATTGATAACTTTCAATTTTCATGAAAATACCCAATTCACAATATGCATTGATTACAGCCACTACCCGTCAATTGATTGTCATTTGGAATTTAGTCAAAATTCATGAAAAGAAGCTGCACTCTATGTTTGGATGGAAAGAAACTAATGCAAAGCGGGAAAGACGGATTGGAAACGTCACAGAGAGAGAAGTAGGGGAGTTTCTTAACCTCGTTTTAGAAAAATATAAAAGAAAACTCTTTATTAGCTTAGGTTTCATGTTTTGAGTTGTTGGATTTTTACAATGGCTCAGATGAAATGAAATGCAGAGGCTCTAAATGCAGGGACTCGGTATCCAAACTCTTTATTAGCCTAGGTGTCATCTATTGAAGTCCCAATTATTTATCATATTCCCTATAATCCAATGTTGTATTAGAGCTATTTTTTTTTTCTACACACATTAAAAATGTTAGAACTTAGAAGTAATTAATTAAAGGGAATGACAAAAAATTACTTTTCTTGTATGTACTTGTTTAAGTGGTTGGACAAAATTTACTCTTTTTTTTTCTTCCAAATATAAGTTTGATTAGCATGTGCGTATTAAGCAACGTAATGTAACGCGACAGAATGCAGTGCAATGCAAAAATATTAGAGAGAGAGAGAGAGACATGGCGGAACGAGATTTGTATAGAATAGCCGTCCACCAACACGATCCTCTTTATGAATGACTTACGCAAGCCAAGCTGATCAGATTTCTCCACACGCATTTCGCGTTTTCACTTTTAATTTTCTCTCCGGCCAAACAGAGAGAGAATCCGGCGAGAAAAAGAAAAATTGAAAAAGATGGGGGTTCCGCAAGCAATGGCGGCCGTGGAAGCGAGAGCATCGTCCATAAGAGACGCGCTGCACAAGAGCCAGACCATCACCGACAGCATGGTCGCCATTCTCGGTTCCTTCGACCACCGTCTCTCCGCTCTGGAGACCGCCATGCGTCCTACTCAGGTACCTCTCTCTCTCGCTCTCTGTTTGTTTCCCGAGAAACCTCACGACAATGTCACGCTTCTTCAATATGTTTCCAAAATCTACTGCGTTTCGTTTCGCCTCCTGTAATTTACGTCTCTTTCCGTGAAAAATCTCTGCTTTTCGCATTTCGCATATATGTGTATATGTAGCTGGAGCTGACGAGATCTGCTTAACGCTTTAGCTTTAGTTTACAGAAATTTAGGCTTCGGATTTGTTTTTTTTCCTTGTGCCCCTTGTGAATTTGTGGTAATTGTGGATGGTAGATACGAACGCATTCAATTCGGAGGGCCCATGAGAACATTGATAAGACATTGAAGGCTGCAGAGGTGATATTGGGGCAATTCGACCTCACACGCAAGGTTAATTAGCTCTCTTTCTCTTCATCAACTCATGGCATTAGGATTTGTAACTTGGTCTTGTTTTTATGTGAAGAATTTGATTGGAAACTGTGGTGTTTGTTTAGGCAGAGGCTAAAATACTGAGAGGGCCACATGAGGACCTGGAGAGCTATTTGGAAGCAATTGATCAGTTGAGGAGCATCATTCAGTTTTTCAGTAAAAACAAGACAGTTAAGAGCAGTGATGGGGTGCTTAACCATGCTAATGCCTTGCTTTCAAAAGCCATCTCAAAGCTTGAAGATGAGTTTAGACAGCTGCTTACAAATTACAGGTTCGTTTTAATTTTCTGATTGAACTTTTGGCATGTACGGGAAAACATCTTTTTCCAAATTCCAATTACCACTTCCTGCTTAGAATTGTCAGTCTACATACTAATCCCTCTCTCTCTCTCTCTCTCTCTCTGTGGTATTAGAATTGCATTAATAAACATGACAAGCAAGCTCCAGCTTTCTTGAAAATATACTATTTCCATTATATCAAATTAAGTGTATTAAATTCGTGTTTTTTTTTGTATCGTTTCCTTCTTAGAGAGGATGACTGTCTGCAATGTTTGATCTGAAATATTTATTTTTGTACAGAAGCAGAGTTTGAAATAGATGAAAAATGAAACGCAATTTAAAACTGAAAACCATGCCATGCCAATCCTAACAAAGGAAATCAGGTCTGATATCAAATTAACTCTTTGATTTATCTCTTTTGTATTTCAGTAAGCCTGTGGAGCCTGATCGTCTATTTGATTGTCTTCCTGACTCTCTACGGCCATCATCAGATCCACCTGGACAGAAAAATGATGGAAAGAGTTCAGAGCACCAAAACAAAAGCTTACAACCTGTCATTTATGCACCACTAACGCTTATTCCACCAAGGGTTCTGCCATTACTGCATGATTTAGCCCAACAAATGATTCTAGCTGGCCATCAACAACAGCTCTTTAGGATCTACAGGTGATTTTTATTTTCTTTTGTGTGGTTAATCTTATGTTGCACCATTGCTTAAGTTAGAAAAAGAAGAAAATGGTGGAGGATAGTTTGCAGTTTTTATTTTTATTCTCCAGATAGAATACGAAATATTTCCATTTGCCCTTTTCTTTGTTACATGAATATAAAAAAGGTAACGAAGGATAACTGTAGATAGAAAAAATTGGAGAAAAACGATTCCTGTAGCCAACCCCACTTATTTGAATTTAAGGCTTGGTTGAGTCTAGTGTAAGTTCATCGATTCAAACCCTTGTGATCTTCGTTTCACATTTTATTCATAAACTGACAAAATGTTATTTATCTATCAGGGATACTCGTGCAGCTGTTATGGAGCAGAGCCTGAGGAAACTAGGTGTGGAAAGACTTAGTAAGGATGATGTTCAGAAAATGCAGTGGGAGGTTTTAGAGGCTAAGATTGGGAATTGGATACATTATATGCGGATAGCTGTAAGGATTTCTTTGACTTTGACTCGGTTGATTGTAAACTGTTTGTTTGTTGTTTTCTGTTGCGTTTTTATTTACAATTATTATTATTACTATTATTATAATATCATATATATTTATACAGGTGAAGCTACTGTTTGCTGGGGAAAAGAAAATCTGTGATCAAATATTTGAAGGTGACGATTCACTAAGGAATCCATGTTTTTCTGAAGTTACGGCAAACAGTATGGCTGTGCTTCTCAGTTTTGGGGAGGCTATTGCCAGAAGCAAGAGGTCACCTGAAAAATTATTTGTGCTTTTAGACATGTATGAGATAATGAGAGAACTGCAGTCAGAGGTATTGAAATTTTAGTAGCTGCATAAAAACTAGTCCATGCATGACCAAACTTGTTTGGAAATGGTTAGTTGTTTACTTAATTTTAAATTTTGGGAGTTTCTTGTGATATATTTTGGGGGATAATTTATTAGGGATTGATGACATCATGACAGGTATTTAAGGTATGAGGCTTATGGGAAATTAACTTTACACGCACACACACAAACAGTTTCTAGTTTTATGCATCAGTTCTTTTTTGTGAAAGTACTTCAACTTGAAGAAAAAGTTTCTGAAGTTGCTCTATTTATATTAATTTGGGACAAAACATGGAGTTTATCAAGTTCATGTCATCTTGGGAAAGCTCTGTTTATATGCTTAGTGAACGGTCTCTATACTGTTGTTCAGTCTTCAGATTAATATTTCTAGTCTCTTGCAGCATACAATGCATAATGTAGTGTTGGTTTTATTATGAATGTGAAAATTATGCTATTGTGATGATATGAATCAAGGTTATGACCTTCCTGTTCGTTTTCTAAAATCGTTGTGGAACTCTGTAAGTTTGGAAGAGGTCTGACAACACCTTAAAACTTTCAAGGAATAGCATTCAGATTAACAAGTTCATGCGTTTAATTCCATAAGATGATCACTGGAGTAAATTGAAGGCCAAAATGTAGAAAAGTGGTAACATGGCAATAAGTAGTGGCAAGCAGAATTCATATATTAATTTAGTTTGCAAGGAAATTAGAACTTTTACAGAAACGTAGAAGCTCAAGATGCTATGGATTGATGGTGTCATAGCAGGCTCGTCTTTATCTTTTTATGTTGATCAAATGTTGGTTTAATACTTCTAAGAAAACAAATTGATTGTTTAAATATAATTCTTAGATCTTATTTTTCAGATTGAATTACTTTTCGGAAGTAAAGCTTGTATGGAAATGCGGGAATCTGCAGTAAGTTTGACAAAACGTCTAGCTCAGACAGCCCAGGAAACCTTTGGTGACTTTGAAGAAGCTGTTGAAAAAGATGCCACAAAAACTACTGTTCTTGATGGAACTGTCCATCCGTTGACAAGCTATGTGATAAACTATGTAAAGTTTCTCTTCGAGTAAGTAATGATTCCTGCTCTTTCTGCTTCTTGCTATTTGGTCCCAGTCTGAGGAGCTCACAAATGTATGTATAAATTTGAAGTAATCATGATAGTTGATGTCTTTCTGGATGATCTGATAAACGGTATCAATTGCTCGATCCAATCTTATAGTAAATTCATCTGCTTTATTTATGAGGGTAATATTTAATTTATCAAGTTCATTATTACAATAATTTCTATATTAGCTAAGTTATTACTTTTGATTATTATTTATATTTCTTCCTTTTCCCCAGTTCCAAATTTGGTTTTCTTTCTAGCTACCTCAGCCTTTGTCGATATTAACTGTGCAACAATCACACATGACTGTTTT